CCCAATCACATCCCATCCAGTCCCATTCCTATCTATCAAACCCCAATCCAATTGTATCCCATCCATTCGAAACCCAATCCCATTCATATAATTCCACCGCATCATATACCCTCCTATCCTATCCAATTTCCATCCCATCCAACGCCATCCCACCCAATCCCAACCCGATTCTAATCTCATCGGTCCCAACCCCGACCCCAGCCCCACTGCCATCCAATCCAATCCCAAAACAAATCACATCCAATCCCAATCCATCCCATCACATCCCTACCCACTTCCGACCGGGTCCCAGCCCAATCCCATCCAAGCCTATCGATCCATGAACCCAATCACATCCAATCTCGACACACTCGGATCCCATCAAACCGAACCCCATCGGATTCCCAAACATTATCTCGTCCCATCAATTCCCAAACCTATCCCATCGATCCTATTGAATCTCAGTCAGATCCCACACCATCCAAACCCTATGCAACCCCATTCAATCCCATCACATCCCATTCATCCCAATCCAAGGCCATCCCCTCTCATCCCATCCCAGCCCAACCCAGGCCATCGTATCCTATGCAATCCCTGCCTAATCCAATCCCATTCACCCCATACAATCCAGTCCATTCCAATCCGATCCGATCCGATCCCACCCAACCCAATTCAAACACAATACCACTCCAAACCCATCAATTCCATCCAGTCCCATCCAGTCAAGTCAAGTCCCATCCAATCTACCCAGTCAAATTCCACCACAATAACACTCCCAACCCATCCCATCTCACCCAGTCAAATTCCACCACAATAACACTCCCAACCCGATCCAACGGGATCCCATCCAAACCTATTCCACGCAACCCCGACCCAGTTCCAATAAAATCCTAACCCGAGCATGCAGTCCAGTCCAGTCCCATCACCCAAGCCAATCCCATCCCATCTTCCATCAATCAATAGAACACACAGGCCGGATAAAATAGAATCCAACTGGCCATGCTCTGTTGCTCAGTGTCTGGCGTACCTCTCTCTCTCTATGTGTGTGTGTGTGTGTGTGTGTGTGTGTGCGTGTGTGTTACATGCTGAGAGCCTACACACAGGCCCCTCACGGGACCCGAGGTTGGAATAGGGCCCCCAGGTCGCGTCACCGCAACCTGAAGGCCCTATGACATTTTTACTTGGGCCTGCATCAGAAAAACGCCAACTTTAGATTATTTTTATATTTTTATTTATTGCTGCTGTTTTTCTAACGTGTGTGCTGTTGTCTGTTTGTGGCTAGGTACACGTCCTTGGGCCAGGGCCAGATTCAGGCCCAGAGGCTGAGCCTCTAAAAACGCTTGGACCATTTTTTGTTTTCGGACAGATTTTGGACCATTCGGACCTGGACCGACATTCAGGCCGATGCATTCGCACAGGCCCTGAATCGGACCAGGTACCGAACAGGTCCAGTCCTGGGCAGGGCCTGGACGTCCGGTAGGGACCCAGGCAGACCGTTTTAGGCAAAGGACTGAATCAAGTCCGAAGCCTGCGATCTGGACCGTGGATCGGAATTCGATCTGCACGGTCCAGAACGAAGGCCGTGGACTCACTGGGTCCGGCCCAGCGCTACTTAAGCTGGGCCAGCGCCCAGTTCTGGACAGAGGACACAAGGAGAAACCCAGCGTTACGCTGGTTCAGGATTCGGCCTGCTGCGCTATTTTGAGACTGCCGGCTGCGTTGTTCTTCGGCAATATGGCACAGCGCTGGAGGAGTCCAGAGCCGAGGAGGTTAGCGGAGTTGAGAGAGAGAGAGAGAGAGAGAGAGAGAGAGAGAGGGACTTACCTGTCGCGACTTACCAGCGCCATAGCTGGGCTCCCGCGGTACCTGCAGTCAGCACCCAGGTAAGTAGGATCAGAAAGCGCCTAGCTTTCTTCTTCTTCTTCTTCTTCTTCTTCTCCTCTCCTCATTCTTTTTCTTCTTCTTTCCTCTTCTTCTCCTACTCCTCCGAATTCTTTTTCTTCTTCTTCTTCTTCTTCTTCTTCTTCTTCTTCTTCTTCTTCTTCTTCTTCATCGGAGTAGAGATAGAGGTAACTGCAGACATTGTTTGGACACGGCGTTCCGCCTTATTGGACACGACATTCAGATCGGACTTGTACTCTACATTGGGATTGAACTGTGTACGACATTCGGAGATCTCTCTCGCATGTCTATGGATCTCTCCCCATGTGTGTGAGCGGAAGGGCAATCTTTCTGATGTCCTGCCCTTCCGAAGTTTCTCTCTTTCATGTTTGTCTGTCCTCGTGTCCTTTGATTACTAAGTATTCAGCTGCGCTGTTTTCCCAGCCTATGATGATGATGATGTGAATGCATTGTTGTCAATTTCTCGTTGGTTCACTCTTTGCATTGAGCACATTGGCATCTTGTGAATGTTGCATCTATGCTGCTGGTTGTTGCCACTTTCATTATTGCTAGATCTTAGGCTCTCGGTGCATTTCACTTCCTGATATGCTACAGTGTGTGTTGTGTGTGTGTGTGTGTGTTGTGTGTGTGTGTTTGTCTGTTGTCTGTGTGTGTGTGTGTGTGTGTGTGTGTGTGTGTGTGTGTGTGTGTGTGTGTGTCTGTGGATGTTGTCCTATTCGCTATACACAACAAAAAGCATGACTGTGCCAAACTGTTTCCTCGAACTTTCACCGACTCACCAGGAGGTAGAACCTTGACAGTCTGCCCAGGATGCGTTCGACTGATGGATAAGTACTCTTGTCGCCCAGAGTTACCGATACCCCTGAGAAAAGTGGTCCACTTTCCTCAGACCAACCCTGGAATCCTGGCAGACTGTCAGTCAAAACCCATGACAAGAATGGGAAGCCTGAGAGACTAATCTGACACAGCCATAAAGCCCACTCTACACACCCACTCAGCCATGGATACAAAATGGCACGACCCCTAGCACGGTCCCGACCTTGAATGCATTGATCCCCCTGAACTGAGAGCTTAGCAAGGTCGTATTGTGCTTTGTCATTTGTCATATTCACTGTGTGTGTGCGGGTGGTACAACTGCATATTTATTTCTCGTCTGTTTCCGAAAAGTTGGACAAGCCCCAGTGCAGATGGTCCAACCGTATGTTTAATTTGGTTTCTGACAGGCTTGACAGGTCTCAGCACGAGTGGTCCAGTCCTATACATCTGCGCGTAATGCACATAAAACAGAGACCTTTTTCCTCTCCCTTTGGGTATGTGTGTGCACTTTGCATCCCTGCATCAGATACAACAGCGCATGGCAAACAAGTTTTACAGGTTATGTGCATGTGTGTGCACTTTCCATCCCCGCATCAGATACAACAGCAAATGGCAACCTGTTAACAAGTTTTACAGGGTAATACAGGGTTGCATGCCTGCCGACCCCGACCGCCGACTGTTTTGCGGCCGACCAATAAGGCCGACCGATCAGCAGTCTGCTGACCAGTCAGAAAACAGCCATCCATTGATTTGTTTTCAAATCTGAGTTGGGGGCTGTACTGCGCTTACTGAGTACAGCCCAAATCTGCTGAGAAACTTTTGGGGATGCGGGGGGTGGGGTTGTGGGAGGTCGGGGGGGTACAGGGGGAATTATAAGGGGTACTGGAAGGCTGATGAGGTGCTTGCTGAGGTTAGCCAAACGTGCCCGTCCCTTCTACAAATTCTGAGAGCACGGGGCACAGAAAAAAAAATTAAGGCCACGCATTCCTCATTGAATTTAGTTTTTTTCTTTTCTGAAGGGCTCTCATGTCTTACCAGAGACATTTGTCAAATTCTGGACGAGAGAGGAGCAGGCCAGCAATATATCTTCTAGATCTGAAGTCAGGTCTGTGTTCCAGCAGCTACGGGCTACAACTACGTACTACCGTAGCTCCCTTTCTTTTCTTTTCCTTTTCCTACGAGCAGTGGCCCTAAGGGCCTGGCTCCACTCGTCACCACTTGCACAAAAGACAACATATGGCGGCGTATGATTCCCTGTTCTAGCAGAAGATTCATTCTAATTTTGCACATCTGGCGAGTAGTGGAGGGAAGCCCTGAAATCACATGGTGAGTTGGCCTGGTACCGTCCAGATAATCACGTGCTCAGTGGTCCCATAACTGCTGAAAAACGGACCTTAATGTGAATCTATACCATATATAGTTGCCATGCTGCTGCCTTGCAATGCGAGCTGCCTCTTTCGCTGCGAGTAGCCCCTTGCTAATTATTAGCAGGGGCCTCTCAGATTACCCGCAAGGGTTCTCTGATCAATGTTGAAGGCATATTTGTTTGCTCTCTCTCTCTCTCTCTCTCTCTCTCTCTCTCTCGCGCGCGCGCGCTCTATAGCTTAGTTGGTAGAGCATTGGGCTTTTGACCTAATGGTCGCAGGTTCAAATCCTGCTATACCCATAAGGCCACGAAGTGGGGTAGACATGCTTATACTCCTTTCAGGCAACTAACTTGTATACATATTCCAGAAAGAAGCGGCTATGGCGAAATTGGTTTACGCACCACACTTAGGATGTGGCGGCGCTTCGCGGCTTGTGGGTTCGAGTCCCGCTCTCTCGTCCCATCCGGGTTATTAGGGGTTCTGGACCGATTTTATTATTATTATATTATTATTATTATTATTTATTTATTTATTTGTGGGGTGCGCCGACGACGCCCGACAGGCAGGTGCTGACCAGGTGACCGGTCGGCTGGTCGGCAGCCGACAAGTCAGGGGCCGCTGACCATCGGGCTGTGCAACACGGGGGTACGAGAGACCCAAGGTAGTTCTGACCACCTTGTCAAGACACTTGGGAAACCCTACCCCACATTTTCACTTTCTGCTAGCCGTGCACATCAATGTCCAGCAACATGTTCCGTGTGGGATGACTGCACGGAACAGAATCAACAAGCCACTCGCTATAAGTGCACAGCAAAGGACAATGGGAAACACATACGCGAAAACTGTTTACTAGATCTCCCATATAATACATGTCCAATTTGTAGCCAATTCAACTCAATCAAACGCCCTAACATAGGAACTTGGAAGAAGCATTACCTTCCGGAGCACACCAAAAAATAGCGGCACAACATCTTCATTCTGCAACAAAGAGAGAAGCACACAGTACGTCTCCATCAGGCTGACACGAGGAAACCACGGCTCAGCGTACACATGAATAAGAGCAAAAATCTCTGGCTCACATTTTTTCACTTGTTGCAAACTTTGCTCAAATGGGATGAGGTATGGTGATTACACATCAACATAGCCAGTGCCAAATGACTGGGCCAGACAGCATGTTTGGAAACCATGCAATGCGAGGCATACAGTAGCGGATAGTGATACACACACCTGGAGGTTGCCCACTCAAACCTTTAAAACTGCTGGGTTACCTCGGTCCAACCAGAGCCGGACTAGCCCCGGGGGGAAGAACCGGGAAACCGATTTTGAAAAAATAATGCCCAAATATCTTCTTTTCTTTTTTTTTTGGGCAGATTCCGACTGCGCTCTTCAAGAGCTGTCCGAGTCCGCAATAAAATTTTCAAGGTACAATATTTTCAGGGGGCTTCCAGAGGGGAGCAGGGGGTAATTATTGACATATTCAGGCAACTATGGCTTCCTCGGGGAGGGATCAAGTAAGCAAATTCACTTATCCGACCCCCCCGTGGCTGGAGCACTCCGTGGAGTATGCCATTTGATATTGATACCCCACGAGCTGAACCAGATATGATGGGAGGAGGTCCTTGCCCGAAATTATTGCTCTTCCAGAGTATATTTCGACAGCAGAAAAGTTTTTGATCCAGCTTTCAGCTCGTGGAGGCAAAGCGTTTTCTGTTTGTTGGTTTCTACATAAGGTGAGTTGTCAGTCCGGAAGTATCTTGCCTGACAGGCTGTCCAGATACATATAGTGGAGCAAGGTCCATTCGAGATAGATAGAGAGAATATAAAAGCTTAGGTCCATTCTTGGGATTGCACCTCGGACGGCTCTGAAATCACGATTCCAAAATCCGAACCCATAACTTTTTCCACAGATGGCAGGGACGTCGCAAAAGGATATAATCTCAGCAGAGTCTCATCAGACGCAGTGTTCCCCTCGTGACTGAGGGTGAAAGAGCATCAGATGTTGCCAATGGTAACTGGTCCATTGGACCACAAGATGACAAATTGGAGAAGGGGCCTACCCGACCCGCATCTTAGGAAAAATGCGTGGCTGTTCTCCGCTGCCGATCTGCACAGATCAGCGGCGGATATCCTCTGCCCGTTTTCCTTAAGAAATGGGGTCCTGGCCGATCTTTGCCGCTGATCTGCGACGATCGGCGGTCAAGATTGGCCACTTTCTGGACTTGAAAAATCCGGGCCTACAGGACCCAGTTTCGAAATTGCAGGGCAGGGCCTGCCCCCACGAGGCCTCGGGAACCGGGCGGGAACCGGCCAGGGCCACCAGCTGGTCCAACCGGGAGGACCGCGGATGGGGCAGGGGTCCCCGGTCCATCCGGGGACCAGCCCTGATTCATTCTCATTTTGCACATTTTGTGAGAAGTGGAGCGAAGCCCGGTGAATGGGAGGAGCACCACGAGGAGCAGGGGGAGGCAGAGCGGGATGACGAGCGGAGGGAGGGGAGGACGACAAACAGGAGGAGAACAAGTGGCAGGGAAATAGAGGCAACAAGCAGGAGGACTGGGTCTTGCTCCACTTCTCACCACATACATAAAAGACAAATTATGGCCTTCTATCTTCCCGCGCTCTAGCAAAAGATTCGTTCTCGTTTTGCATCTTTGATGAGTAGTGGAGTGATTCTCAACGAATGGGAGAAGCTCCGGGATGTTACATGCTGTATAGGCCCCAACCTATTTCCCTACAAGGAAACTTCCAGGCTCTTGCCTGGAAGCTTCCTTCTGACAGGGCCTACAGGCCCCAGCCTGTTTCCCTACAGGGAAACTTCCAGGCTCTTGCCTGGAAGCTTCCTTCTGACA